CCTACCACTTTTCCATTTTTAATGTTTTTTTTATTTACTTGTAGATTGTAAACAAAAACATTAACAGTAAATTTTTTACATGAATTTTCATTATGTATAACAGAAATAGCACAATTACATGTAAATAGACCTAAGCACAAGTAACATTTTCCTTCACATCATTTATTTGGGGTTCCATGCATACAAAACCAAGACTCTAATAATGGGGAGTTTTATTCAGCTACAGTACACTTTCATCTTAGAAATAAAAGTGACAATATAGTAATATTTCAAGCATTATAACCAATCACAGAATCAATATACAATACAACTGACACTGCTTGGACTCCTATTTCCATGAAATGCCAGGTTCTTTGGTGGCTGCAGCAACTCCATTTTTACAATTTCTGTAGATATAATTCTAAACAAGAGGATTTTTAATTGTGTATTTGATAAAGCATAAAAAGTTCAATCAAGTAGCAAATATAATTAGTAATCATTACTATTTAAGTAGTTTCAAGAAAGATATATGCCTCTTAAACTGCCTCATTATAGCCAGCCATTGTTCAGTTACGCCCACTTCCGTGTAGACAAATCTCTTCCAGTTTGGGATGGTTATGACTCGAATGGAATAATGCAGAAATGGTCATATGTCATGAGTTAGGTAAGTTTCAATGTTCTTTAAAGACATATTTACTTTGTATTTTTCAGTAAACCTTCCATGTAAACAAATTATTGTGAATATTGAGTTTAATTCAGTTGCTACCTTCACACTGTTTTGAGCAGACATCGCACTTGTATACATGATACACGAGTATCTACACAAAATCTTAGGCTAAAGTAGATAGTGGTAGATATTGGAGAGCAACCTAGAATATTCTCATTTATTTTTAGATATTTTCGTGTATTATGCCATAAACATTCTAATTATACAATTGTACAAAATTTCTGTGTCCACATGGCATAATGGCAGATGAGAGAATAGAATACGAAGAATTCTTTACAATTCCACAGCAGCCTTCTACAAACAAAGACTGTATAGCTAAATGTAAAATCTGCCAAGGATATAGAAAATACACGCTTAATTCCAAGAGGAATCTTTTACAACATCTCAAAAAAATGCATGGTCAGCTGCTTGAAGAGCATTGTACCCGGAGATGTCAGTCAACCAGTTCAGTCCAATCTAGATTTCAAGAAGATGGCACATACCAGAGAAAGCAACAGTTGTTAGATTTTAGCAGTGCTATAACTTCTGGCCCAAAATCAATTCATGGCACTAGTGCTGAGATACAGAACTACGTTAATCAACCACTTAGAAACATCAATCCTATAACGTTTTGGGCAGAAAGAGAGAATACACCATTGTCTCAAATAGCTTTACAGCTGCTTTCAGTTCCATCGTCTTCTGCACCTGTTGAGCATTTGTTTTCAAAAGCAGGATCTATACTTTGTCAACACCGTACTCGTATAAGAGTTGAAAAACTGCAACATTTATTATGTGTGGATAATTGATTGGTACTTGGTATTATTTGAAATTTACTAACATTAAATACATAAAAATACACAAAAATACACATCTACTTGCAAAGTAAATACAAGTAAATACTGATTAAAAAATTCAAATAAAAGTAGATACAGAGTAGATAGAATTTGAGTAGATGTGCTATGTCTGGCTTTGAGCATGGATGTAACAAACCAGTTTCCGTATTCTCTAGGCTGACTGGTGCTATATTACAGATTACTTTTGAATGTTCAGATGGTCATGTTACTAAATGGTCATCTTCCAACAGTCATTCTAAGACAAGGAGTGTTATTGATGAAAAGAAATTGCTAATTGCAGCGTCCGTTCTTTTTTCTGGCAATCACTATGCTAAGATGAAATTTTTCTGCCCTATTTTAGATTTGAAGTGTCCTACAGAAAAGATGTATTATTAGCATTAACGCCTTTATTAATAAATTCTGGAAAACCAACCTTGACAAAGTCAGAGAAAGGTTATTTACCTTGATAGTTTATTACCTACTATTTATGACAATTTTAGGTTTTATGATAAAGATGTAATAGTTAGAGGTGATGGAAGGTGTGATTCTCCTGGATCCTCTGCAAAATATTGTACCTATAGTCTGATGAAGTGTCAGGATACATCATAGACCTTGCAAATGTAGACAAGTGGGAGGTTCAGTTTAAATCTCCTGTTATGGATTCTGAAGGTTTTTGTAGATGTTTGGACAACCTAGCTAATAATTCTTCTGTAAGAGTAAAAGAATTGACGACTGATGCATCAATCACTATAATTGCTATGATGAGTATGTTGATAAGTCTGTATATGTTTAATTTTGTTTGTATACGCGACATGTAACATCCCAGTATAATTCATTCATTGGATATTTGTCACAAATCAAAGAAACTTCGTAAATTTCTCACTAAAGTACAAATATTACATACTTACAACACTTCATGTGTGTAAATGTAAATGTATGCTATATATACAGGCAGCAAACGAAAGGGGAATGGGTAAGATTGCACTGTGGGCTGATCACTTATGTAATCATTTTTGGTTCTGCTGCAAGCATTGCTCTGGTAATGTTGAAGAATTACAGGTAAATTAAATTGGTGTTGATACATTACATTATGTGTATTTTCTTTACATTAAGCCACTATGGATAAGCTTTTACATCATGTACAAAATGAACATGTTTGGATTTTTAGCAAATGTAGTCACATCAATGAAAATGGAGATGACGCCAGTTCACAACCACCAACAGATGAAAATGGAAAAGTAATACCATACTTTATACCTGGTGAGCCTGCACTGGAGGTTCTTAGACAAATTGTTTTAGATCCTATATGGCTGAAATCACTCTACTACTATGTTCGACTTAGGTACATGTAATATTGATGCTAATATACAAATACTATTATGATCAAATAGACACACTGGGAGTTTAGAGTGCTTTCACAGTCCACTACTATCATATTGCCCAAAAAAATTGCTTTTAGGTAATATAACTCATGAATGACTCCATCTATCTGATTTGAATTGGTTTCATTAGAGATAAAGCTTATCATCAAGGGTGCAATTGGCCGCTATTGATCACAATCATCATATTGGAAGGCAACCTTGGAGAAAAAACAAATGTGACTTATGTTTTCATCAAACAAATAGGAAAAGGACTAAGTGCTGGGATGTTGCACCTGTTTTGGAGAAAAAGTCATAGTCATATATACTGGAACTAGTAGACCTTTTTTAGTATCAAACTGAATGTAAAGACAGTATGCATAGGACTGCACAACAGAGAACTAGGCATCCTGAATTGATAGCAAGGACAGTATCAAAAAAGGATCCTCCATCAACCACTAATTTAGTTGAAGCAATGAAAAGTAGATTTTCATT